CATAATAAAATATAATAAAACTTGAAATTATTTTTTATAATAAAATTTTTATTTTTATTAATAAATATTTTTGTTTTTATAATTTTTAAATTTAATTTCAAGCTTATAAAATTAATTATACAAATTTTTATAATTAAAATTTAGTAAATTTGAATTTTTAATTATAAAAAATTGTATACTTAATTTTATAATTTGAAATATTCTTTAAATTAAATTAAAAAATTTATAAAAATATATATTAAAATACAAATTTTTAGTTTTATTTTAATATATAGTAAAAATTTGATTATATAGTAATAAATAAAATAATATAATAATATCAAAATTTATTAATTAAGTATAGTAAAATACAGATTTTTCTCTTTATATAAAAGTTTCAAATTATTAATAAATATATTTTATTTTTATATTAAAATAATAATATTATTATATATTTTAATATATATTTTCTTTAGATTTTGAATTTAATTTGATCAAATTATTTTAATTATATTATTATAATAGTAATAATAATTTTATAAATTTAAGAAAAATTATAACTTTCAAAAATAGTAGAAAAACAAGAAATATTAAAAATATGAAAAATAATAAAAATAACTTATAACATATTATTTTATCTTTTATTTTATCTTTTATTATTATTTTATCTTTTATTTTATTTTTATCTTATTTTGTTAATTAATTATTTTATCTTTAGAAAGTTATTATATTTAAAATTATATTTTTAAAAATATATAAATAAAGATATTATTTGAGTTTTAACTTAATATATTACAAATGAAAAATAAAATTTTCTTTTAACAAAATTTTTTTAAATAATATTTATTTCTTTTACTTTTAATTATATTAAAGCTTATATATAAGTAATTTTAAATTATATTATGCTGAACAAATTGTTATTATTGGATCTGACAGTATGGCTTTTTTATTATAATTTAATTAACTTTTGATATAACTAAATATTCTTGGTTTGAGCGAATATTCTTAGCATTATTTATTATTTTTGTCGATTACTATATGAACCAGACTCAATAAAAAAATAGGATTATTACTATGTGAGCCATATCACAATTTCATATCTACTAACATCACAAAAATACATGTATTAGGAAATCCAACATTTGCGAATGGTTCGAACATGCAAAACCACCAGCGAATTCTCTCTGTTTTTTATTTGTATTAGTAACATAAAAACCCAATTAATATATATCGGTAGTCAATCAAGTTATCTTGAATTTGGTCACCGGATAACATAAGACTCATTTGTATTTAGCTATTTCTACATAATGCAATGCAGGGTCCCGGATTGCTAATAATGTGATGCAGGTACCCATAAAAATTTGGATTATGACCAGCATTAAGAAATTAAGCTATAATTCAAAACTATGAATTCTGATATTGAACAACAATGTTGATTTATTGTAATCGCTTGATATTGTTGAAAGCCTCCGAAACTTGAAAAAAAATGAAAAAACACAGTTATTAATTTTGACCTTTATCGCCATTTCCTTGTTGGTTGTAATCGTAGTTAATGGATGCCCTTTTCATTGAGGCTTCCTGTTCCTTGGTGTGCCTAGTCGTGGAACGGATGCAACGAGGGAACAGATGGTACGACGGGCACTGAACTCCTGGACAGCCTGGAACTCCTGGAAAACCTGAGCCTGAGAAATAATGATGAATTATCTATCGAATATGTCTGCTGGAAGATAGATAATACGGATTAATAAAATTATGATTTTTTGAAAACCTAAAATATAATATCGATATACTCTTTGGGAACGCAAATGAAATTATGAATAACAAGTTTGGTTATTGCGTTTTTTTTTAGAAAACGACGTTTTCAGTAATATTACGTCTTTTGAACAAATTCGAAGAACAATGAATGTAATTGCTTTATTTATTTTTTCAAGGTTAGTTCCGCCTCGATTCGTGGAAACAAAGTAACTTTTTATAATATATTTATAGAAAACCTTTTAAACTTTTCAAAAATCACTAGATCCATAATCAACGCTCCCAGACCGCACGTATCTCTAATTCGAAAAAGCTACGTATACTGGACCGTGCACTCGCTTCATTTTCCCTTGGCAATGGTGGTAAAATAAATGATCATCTTTTGTTCGTCGTATTTGGAAAACAAATTCATAAAACTAAGAACGATAACTCTTGCCAATGCAGAATAAAAATTCCAAGATATCGATATATAGTACTCTGTCAATGATTATTGACATGTTGCATTAAATCAAACAGCTATTGTTCGTTATGGAATACAAGTTTATTTTTCCTATGATTCTAACTATATGTATTATAAAAAACCCGTTCATTTTTTTGCATGGCTATCATTTTTATGGCAGGAGGATGACGTGAATTCCGGTATGTGTATTGAGAAATCGGATCTAAACTTTTTTTTCTTCATTTTAATTTCGGGTGTCAGACGGCATGACAAAAGCTTTCACTTTTTACTTTATATAGAAGAAAAGAAAGCATATATTACGAGTTATTTATATATTAAATACACAATATTCCTGAATCGTCAGCTTTTCACAGTGGTTATTGATAATATTTTATCGTTATTTGTGTTTAAGGGGTAAAAATAATAAAAAAACGAGTTTTTTTCTAATTCAATTTCCTTGTACTTCGTAGTAATGTTGTTGATCAATGGAATAGCATGGATTCAATAAATTAATTTGTGTAATATGTATTATCGTTATCGTTATACTTTAATTAAGGGTATTTCGGTGGCGTCAAATCAAAGTTAATTATTATCGTTATTAATTTAATAATACACAAAAAAGGAAAACCAGTATAACGATTTTAATTTTATTAGTGGCGTTTTCACACATACAAGTAAGTACATGAAGGAATAAAAACGATTTTATATAGTTAAATATTCTGGCTTTTCGCAGAACATATATCTAAGTCGCGTGTACTTAAAACGATCACGGATTTTCATTGATTTATAATAGCAATTAATGGTTTAATGAAATTTATATGCAACAAAGTAAAAATAACAAATCAACATTAAAAGCTTCACGTATTGATGCTAACTAAAAAAATTGACCGTTAATCATATGCAAAATTACAATATACGACATACGGAGATTTTGTCGCGCGCGTAATTGATCTGATTTGATTTGATTTGGTTCACTCCCATTTAACTGAATATAAACGAACAACAAGCTAAATGTAAGACCAAGCAAAAAGCGAGAAAAAGAGACTTTAAAATTTAGAATAAAAATTAGCGTTCACGTTCAAAATATTATTGGCGTTGATTTACTAGTGCGAAATTTGGTACTACGAGAAGAATAGTTACGCAATTGTGACTTCATTTGAGACCATTACATTATGGGCATTAAGAAAATTCCACGACGAAATAAGATTCTTCCGGCGAATTTGATTTATTTTCAGCTCGCGCGAAACTAAATACATAAAAGAAATAATTAGTTATGAAACGAATTTTCGTCAGGTTAAATTATGATTTAAACATTTCCGGACATTGAACAAATTTAGTTTCTAATCAAAGAAAACTAAGTATCAACAATGCATGTAATTATTTATCGATTGTTTTGCGTCATTGTTCTATTAAATTACGATTTCCATCTCGCGTCATTGATCATTTGTAAAGGATTTGCATTTTTATTTTAATACGACGCCTCCGTCAATATAAAAATGCAGTTTTTATTCTCGGAAAAAAAAGTGTGTTGAGAGTGACGAATCAAAGTTCAATCATTTGATCGCTACGTGACGTGTCGCTGTTCTTGTCACTAGGAAAAACAAAACAATAGAATCGAATAACTTAAAAATTATGGCTTTGTCAAGTATTAATGTTGCATTACGACTAATAAAAATCCACCCTATCATCCGTTATATAGAAGTTCACTTATTGTACTTAAAAAGTTACTGTTACACACTCACAAATTTATTATATGAAAAAATATAATAACGATAACATTGCAAAAGTAACACATATTCTTCTCTCCTTCTGCAAAGATCTTACACATACAACAAACACACAAAGATTTTCATATACTGTATGTGTACATGCGCATATATTTACGCACGATACATACCATGTGCATTGTTTCGCATTCTTTTTTAGTGTTCAATGTATCTTTATGCGTATAACAAAGACTAGAAAACAATAAAATACACAATATATGTATCCAATAATAATCTTGTTAGTCTAAATTCCCGGCCGTTTTACTCGTCATTCTTTAGAAATGCTATCATCCTTACGTAAATTAAATTCTGATCTAAATTAACAGCTATAGCAATTCGGGTTAAAGTCACGTGAAACCTGTTCTTTTGTGTATCTATAATATAAATAAATAATAAATTTACTTATATGTAAATAGTAAGAATAAGATTTATTAGCAAAAAAAGAGTAATAAGGTAGGCAATACAAAAACAATGAAACGAATGAATACGTATAAAGAGCAAGATTTTTGTTTGTGTGTGATTTTGCAGAATTTTGTTACATATTTAAATTTATGAGATAATTCTCACAGTCCATTTCACAAACAACAAAAAAATTGTTTTTCGTTGTTTGCGGTTTCTTCACACTTTCTTTATCCTCTATTATCTCCATTCTCTTCATTCTTCCCTATCACTTTTTTCCGCGAAAAATAACAATAGTCACACCTCAAGACAATAAACGTAACCACAAAATAGCGCTCGTTATTGTGTTGTTGTTACAAAAGTTTATTCTTGCAAACTACTTAAATAGTTTGATCGCATTTTCGATCAGGTCAATTGTTTTTCTTAGAGAAAGCGAGTTTTTATTCATTGACAATTATATAGAGTATAATTAATTTGACTTTTTCGGAATTGTCAGTATTCTCTCTCATTACGTCTTATAATAATCTATTGAATCTTGGCGCAAAAACATCTTTTAGCTGGCTCGCAATTCTTTCCTTATTAACTCAACTCAAATATCGTGCTAGAAAGCTGGAGTCGATTATAAAGACATTTGTATTAATTATTTATTAAATTTCGGGATTGCAATGGATTCCGGAACGCATGAACAAGTTCAAGCGATTTTATTCACTTCGACGCATTTAACGCATTCAGTATCATCAACATTCGTCTCTGTTTGGATTATTTTACGTTTTCTATCTGAAATACGAAATCCCCAAATAGTCCCACAACTGATTCAAGGACAAAAAATAGTCACGAATTGGATACAAATAAGTAGTCGAGGTGTATCTTTAAGTTGCATATTACTCTCGCTATCATTTGAAATCATAGCTGATTGGAGTACAGTTATTTATGAATCAACACTTGCAACAGATGAGAATAACACGTTCGCATCAACATTATGGACACTTTCTTTAGCATTTAAGTCTTCTGCAATTTTCACAACTTTATCCTGGTACTACACTCTCACCACTTCTCTCTCCAAAGAGCCAATTATCTCGAGGAGAGAATATCAATTTTATGGATATTTCAACGGATTCAGTTTTTTTGTCGCTTATCCGATAATCGAAATTTTATGCGTGTTGCGGGCCGAATCAATAGGTGACGCGATGATTGCGCCGCAATTGTTTTACGTTTCACAAATGGTTATTGCGACTTTAGTTTTTTGCAAGTTAAATCGACGAATGAAGGTTGTGTTGACCGAGGGACTGCTGGTTGGTCGAAAATCTATTCGCGAAATAAGACGATTTCGAATGCGAAATTGGTATTTGATAAGTTTTTTGTCATTGGAAATCATAGGACTAATGATCAGTAATATTGATCAAATACTCGGAAAACCAATCTCTGCAAATTCTGTCGCATTATCAACAATTATCCATTCTGTTATAAACCTCAGTTCGAATTTAGCCTATGCAGCTGCAACATTAATTCTTTACCCGCCACATGACTACCCACCACTACTTGCCCTACCGACTCCAACAAATGTATCATTACACGAAAAACGTGATTCACAGACAAGCGCAAACGCAAGACAAGGATATTTCTCATCAAACCCCATAACTACATCAACCAGACACAATTGGTACTTCAATCGACTTAATAATATCAACAACCATAATCTCAATAGCAATAGCAATAGCAATAATAGTTCGCATATTTCAATGTTTTCTATGAATCCAAAACAAATTCGACCAGTGGTGGTGGTGCAGGAAGAATATGACGGTGACGACGTGTTATCAGATGAAGAATTTTGTGTGGGGAACGAAGGGTCAGAGCATATGCTATATGGAAACAACAATGGCGGTGGTTTGAAGCAACCGGAAGCTGCATTCATGACGTTGAATCGCGAAAAAAGCGAGTTCTCTTCGTCAGGGATTGCATTATAAGAAATAAATTTACATACCTGTTTATATCATAGCATACATATAGATCTTATAAATACATTTATCTAACTTCATTGTAAACCTTTTGGCATCTTTAACTTTTGTACATACTCTCTCACTCGACTATTACATATTACACATATTACTTATACATTCAAATGATCAGGTCAAAATTTATACCGATCCATTTTTCATGTAATAGCGATAGCAATAGATTATATATATAACAATAATAATATTAATATATTTATTTATTTGTGTATTTTGCAAACCAAGCGATGGAAAAATTATCGTTTACATGTACTTTATCGCGGAGTTGACAAACAAATTGTTGATCATTATCGTTACGTATACGCTAACGCTAATACTCATTAACGTTAATTGACAGTTGCCTGTTGATCGATTACGACTTTTATATTATAACGATTTTAGTGAGAAAATCTTTTTATTTAGTAAACTGAACGACCTGTGGATTAACGTTAATGGACATTTCGCCTGACCGCTAAAAATTTTTATTCCAAGTTTCCGTTAAAAGTGAAAAAGATTTATGTTTCACCGGTCACGTATATTCATCAAATTTCAGTGGTTCGTGCGGTTAAATTGTTTACGCATCCATTCTCTAATCAGATCAACCGTCCGTGTAACCCACTGATGGACAATGACCAGGTCACTTGATTTTTTTTCGTGATCTTGATCACTTAGTCATATGATCTCGATCATTGAAATGACATAGTCATTTGAATAGCCAATAAAAATTGAATATATATTTGACGTCAGACGATTACGTTTTGTGAAAAGTTGACAGGACCATAATTAATTTAATTCAATCTTTGATAAATATTTATAAAACAAAAATATGAAAACCTTGCAAAGGAGAAAACCGGATCCTAGGCCATAAAATGAGCATTCTTATTCTTTGGGATCTTCGAGAAAATATGCTACTGATACACGATCGCTAAATAATTTATTTTTCTATCCCGGAAAAGGCTCTGGTTGTCTATGACTATCCCACCCACATAAATTATATAGAATGTTTCGTTTTCAGTCAAATGCCATTTTGTAGCTCTCCACATCGTAGAGAAGAATTTTGGATCGCGAACTTCATAGCCCATTAGAGATATATTGCGGTCAAGCTCATTTATTCGTTGGAGCAATTCGGTATTAGCTCCCGAGTTTCGTCGTGATCTTTTGATAGCAGATAATTCGGCAGTGATACAGTTTTTCACTCTTCGAGTATTTAAGTATAATACTAATGATTGGACTAGCATGAACATAATGAGCACGAAAAAATCTGAATTGTTTGAGAACATTTTTTTGCGTATGATGTTTTTGGATAATTTCACAGTTCGATCTTGCAAAGCAAGGAATATGTGATTGTTGTGCTATATTGCAATGTGTGCGTTAATGCGTGTCAATAAGTCCTGAATGAATTAATCAATTTTTGAAAAACATTTTAAGAGATTTACAAGTTATTTTACTGAGCAAAATATTTAACAAAGAGAAAGAAAAGATAATTTAGAATTTAATTTTGGGACTGGTTAAACCTTACATCATCATATTTGGGATAAGAACCAAAAATCACTTTTAAGAAATCCCCTTATATTTTGATTACTTGTCTATCTTGTGAAGTTATATGTGTTTGTTATTTATAATTTCTCATCTTAATTGCCTTATAATCATGCGTTTATTTTGTAAAGTCATAATTCATATTTGTTTATTATTCTAATCTCTCATCTTAATTGTGAAGTCATGTTAATATAAAGTTTATTATTTTGTTTATTTAAATTTTTGAAAGTCAATCAATTTTTTTATTTACTATTATAAATCTTTTATTTTTTATTTATTCATCTATATTGTTACTGTTCTTATATGAATAGACAAAATATTAATTAATTATAATAATTAATTAAGAATTATATAAAAATGATAATAATAACTGTGTGTACTTAAGAGAGTTAAATACTAGATAGTTGGGAGAGAGTATAAAAAGAAATAGATTCTAATACTTCTACTAGTTGGACAAGTATTTTATAATTTAAAAGTGCAAGTGATTTATTAAAATACAAAAGATAACTTCCATTAGTTGGATAAGTCAAAGTTAAGTAAATAATAAATCAAAACAAAAAATTATTTAGAAGTATTAGTTAACTTTATACTTTTAAAAATTACTCTTAACTGCACTTGAAATTGACCAAATCATATCAAGCAGAGATTTATAACAAATAAAAGCATATATAGCAACACTCTTTAAGTATTATAATTTCAATACTGATACCTCTCAAACTCTTATTCAACTCACTGTCTGGATGTTTAACTACTTTTCAAAAACCAATCAACAGATTATAAACTACATTCAAAATTTGTATCAAGATATCCATGACTTCGTATAGTGAAGACAATAATACAAATTAAATTTGAAGACAAGCAGAACAGAGAGAATACAAATCAGACAAACCAGATAACAACAACTACAATAGCATTGATAACTCTTACAACAACAGTGACAACAACAATTACAAAATCAAGTAGCTTTAGTTTTTCAGAAAAATTTTAGAAGAATTCTTGCAAAAAGATTTGTAAACCAACTTCGTCAATAACAACATCAACAACAACAACATTAACAATAATAGCATCAACAACAACAGCATCAACAACAGCAACTACAAGAAAACAATGAAATGGTAGAACATGCAGTATAACTATTAGCCAATGCTTTCATCTCATTCATTTAAGTCATGCAAGCATAGCAGAACCAACAGCATGAGATATTCACTGTTCCACTATCAACTTTTAGTGAAAATAGCCATGGAAATCCAATTAACTGATTAGATAAATTTGAAGATCAGCAAATGCAAACAACATCACCAATAACAGAAAATGACAAATAATTTCAGCTTATCTAAGAGGTGTAGCAGCCATCTGGTTTGACCAACAAAAAGTATTAAATAATAATTGGTTTATTAGTTGGAATGACAATAATAATAATTCCTTTTATCAACTATTTGTACACAATTCAGAACAAACATGCAAATTCTTGTTTGGCAATAGCAACTATGACTAAGAATTCAAGGAAAGGAAAAAAGTTTAATATACTAAAGATATTTGTACTTTGTTGAGAAAAATTGATCCAGACAATACTTATTTCATCACTTATAAAATTGAACAATTTGTCAAAGGATTAAAAGCAAAAATAGTATTCTTTGTTAACAAAACCAGTTCAGCAATCTTGAATACTGCTATAAATAAAAAAATCAATATAGAAGTTAGTTACTAACAAATATATCAAAATTTATTAAATCAACTTCAGTAATGACTTCACTTTTATCACAAAATCTTGATGTCAATATACCAGCAATCACAACAATTAATATTAATAAAGCCATAGCCAATTTGACAGAATAAGTCAAGAAATTAACTGTGCAAACTATCAAAAATACTAGCTGGAATCATGATAATTACACCAGTTGCCACTATGATTAACAATTAAATCAAAAAATCTGTTTCGTATATGGAAAAGCCAATCATTTAATAAAAGATTATAAATACTGTGAGAATTGTGATAGATCAAATCAAGATTAAAATCATCAAATTCAATGTTATAGCTGTAAAAAATATGAATACTATGCTAGTGATTGTTTAGCATAAAGAAGAAATACTTTCAATAACAATCAATAATATCAAAATAATTGAAACAATCAGCCAGTTAACTATGAAAGAACTCCAGTTACTTTTACAACTTTCACCTTCAGTTTTCAAAATCCAATTGATGTTCCTTCTACAGTAAACAATATTGATTTCTTATAACAACTTCAAAGTTTGCTGGGAAATAACATCAACAATAATAATAATATTATTATTAATAATAATAATAATCAACAAGAGCAGAGCATCTTATCATCAAAGAATGAAAATCAACAAAAGTGTTTAAACTAAATTTCATACCTGTTGAAGGTCAGAGTACGAATAAACATAAAAATCCTTCAACATTATTTTTATAACAATTATTAAATACAGAAAAAGAAAATAATAATTATCAAGAAAAATCAGTTAATCATAAAAAATCAAAATTGGAATTGGAATCAAATGATACTATTATTGTGAAGATACTATGAAAAATCAACAAACTCAAATAATTATCAACAGTGAATTAGTAAGTAATGTAATATTCAGAAAATTCTTAAAGCAAATTAATTGAAAAATTAACCAATTATTAAACATCAATTTAGTCAGCATAAATGAAAAACACGAAAGACTCTTGGAAGAAATAAAATAATTAAAAATTAATATTGGAGGTAGCGAACAACAAATTAATGCATTAGTCATAGAGCATACTGTTATAACTGAAAATTTATATAATTTCCATAATTTCTATAATTTTCATAATTTCCATAACTTTTATAACTTTCATAATTTTGATAATTATCACAATTACAATAATTACTATCATTTATAACAATTACTGTAATTACTATTATTTACAATAACTACTATAATTACCATTATTTACATAATATCTATTATTTATCAACTTATATAATTAATTATAAATGTAATATTTATTAGTAAAAAATATTTATTATAAATAAAGTACAATTGAAGCTTTGAAAAAGATATCAATTGATTAATACAAAAATTTAGCTAGTCAATAAACTGTTTTTGTTTATTATTAATGAAATTTGTATATTAATTGATTGAATAATAACTTATTAAAATACTTACATTTATTGTATACTATTAGATAACTACCAAAGTTGCTATAGAATATTAATACTGTATTACTATAAAACTGTCCTACATTAAGTAGACATAATATCTATTAGTAATAGTGAGAGTCTATCTTTCTGATAGAAGAAAATACACTATGTGACAATCTTGGAGTATATCCATTACAAAAAGATCGAGTAATTATAAAATTATCATCATCAAATATTGGTTGAATACCTATATCATGATTATACTTACCAAAAATCTGATCATGACAACGTATATATATTTGAAATAAACATTGTCTAAAACAAATATAACTTGAAAAACAACAAGTTATCACATTAAAACTAAAAAAATCACAATCCACAAAATAAATAGGATGATCTTCAAATTCTATTTCATAACAATTTTATAATACTATTATCAAAATTCACTCTGATTCCAATCTATACTCTTGTAACTTCTCAAACTCAGCATATAATAATGATATTTGCTCTAAAGAGGATCTTATTAAACTATATAGTATCTTAACTTTATCAAATCATATACAATTAAAAAATAACTCGAACATTCTCATTATAAAATTAGCTATATTCTAGTTCTTAATTGGTCACAGTGACTAGTTACTTTGTAGTTTCTTATTATTTGTTTTTCTTGAAGGTTTAATTATATTATAACTAGTTATTAATTTATTTTATATCTTAAATTAGTTAATAATTTAAGTAGGACTATACTGTAACATTTCAAATAATTATTATCAAATAGAAATTACTTTATTTTTATTTTTTTATTATTATTTTTGCTTTTTGTTTATATATACAAATAATTAAAAATTCTCTATAAAATTTTATATAAAAAATAATCAAAAAAATAAATTTAATATATTAATATATTATTAGTTAATATTAGTATTAATATTAATTCAAACTCTAATTTTAATATTTTAATTATTATATTATATTAATTATCATATTACTTATTATTTTTAATATTTATATTAATTATTATATTATTTAATTATTTTTAATATTTATATTACTTGTACTAATTATCTTTAACTTAATATTATATTAATTATTATAAATATATATTTGATTTATTTTATTATTAACTAATATATTAATTACTTTTAATATAAGTTTAATAATATTGCAATTTCTTATAATATTAAGTTTACAATTTTTTTTCAAATTAATATATTAAATTTTGATTATATTTTTTTAAAGCAATTTTGAACTTGTTTTTAATCTTTGAAAAGCTTTTAAATTTTAAAATATTAATTTATAATAATTTTTAGATATTTTTTATAAAGCTAGACTTAGAAGAATATATTAATTAATTTATAAAACTAAAATATCATATTTTTAAAATTAAAAAATAAATTATATCAAAAAATATTTATGTAAATTTTTACAAAAATTTTTGTTGATAATATTAAAAATAACTTAGATTATTTTTTGGCTTCTTGAAAATATATATTCTTCTTGCTTGTTAAAAACTTGTAATTTTTTAGATTCTGATAAATTTTCTTTTTTCTTATATTTGAAAAGAGATATTATTTTATTATTAGTTTACACTTTTTTTTTTTTGCAAATTGTATATA